AGAGAGAGAGAGAGAGAGAGAGATGGGTGGTTGAAAGTGAAGTCGAAAGCAGACGACAGAACGCCAAGAAAGGAATTTAAATTTTTAGAAAAGCAATTTTTCCGTCGCTATCTGGTTTCGATCCCGGGACCTATTGAATGAGAGGCGAACACCGTGCCTCTAGACCACAAGAGCCCCTGGGTTGGCTCTGATATGCAGGGTCAAAGCAGCTCTTCTCCTGAATGTCTCTATATAGTGTTGATCGGCACGTAGAACAGACAATAATTGTGGATGATTTTTTTGTTGTTGGTTGTGGTGGTGGTATAGGGGAGGGTGTTCTGGAGGGGTTTGCGCCTTCTTTCCTATCGTCCTTTCTTCTCCTCCTCCTCCTTTTATTGGTATGTTACCCTCTAATAACACCTCTAGTTTCCGGCAATTATATTGTCTGATCGCCGTGAAACTTGTATTAAAATTAAAAGCTAAAAAACCTACCAATAATATTCTATTGTGTCCTATATCTCCAGGCTAGTGATTGGAAGGCGCCTCTGGCAGGTTCTACTTCTGTTCTTTCACCTCTGTTGCTCTTTTCTTTCTGTCTTGCCTCTTCCATGCAGTAAGTGTCCTGTAGGTGGTTGGCGGTGGCTCTAGTGTGGTTTGCTTCTTCTTTCCTATCAAACACATATCGTCCTTATCTCCCCTTCTTTTTAAAATGTTTGTTACTCTCTTGTAACACCTCTAATGTTCTGGCGCTCATATGACCTTATGCAGTTGCGAGCACTGAAAGCCTTCTACTAAAACTAAGTATGCGATGTTGTTTCCATGTGTTTCTCTTTACTCGAATTGAATTAATTATCTCCCCAGATAGGTGGCTACGGTCTGCCGTTCTACGTCGCCGGTGCTTTGATCCTCCTCAATGGTCTGGTGGCCTATAGGTTCCTCCCTTCGAAGCTTGGTAAGAAGAGATGTCTATCGGTTAGTTAATGGAGCCGATCAAATGACGCCATACCCCATCGGGTCGGGCCGGGAATTAATGGCGCTGGCCAGGGGCGAAGCGTCTATATAATCAAATAATCACTGCTTCCCTTCCTAATTTTGAAACATTGTCGCTGTCAAATTCA